GTATTTAGTCGGTGTAGAAGTTGAACACATAATCAGTGTGTATTTAGTCGGTGTAGAAGTTGAACACATAATCAGTGTGTATTTAGTCGGTGTAGAAGTTGAACACTTAATGAGTGTGTATTTAGTCGGTGTAGAAGTTGAACACATAATCAGTGTGTATTTAGTCGGTGTAGAAGTTGAACACTTAATGAGTGTGTATTTAGTCGGTGTAGAAGTTGAACACATAATAAGTGTGTATTTAGTTGGTGTAGAAGTTGAACACATAATAAGTGTGTATTTAGTTGGTGTAGAAGTTGAACACATAATGAGTGTGTATTTAGTCGGTGTAGAAGTTGAACACATAATCAGTGTGTATTTAGTCGGTGTAGCAGTTGAACACATAATCAGTGTGTATTTAGTTGGTGTAGAAGTTGAACACTTAATGAGTGTGTATTTAGTCAGTGTAGCAATTGAACACATAATGAGTGTGTATTTAGTCGGTGTAGCAGTTGAACACATAATGAGTGTGTATTTAGTCGGTGTAGAAGTTGAACACATAATGAGTGTGTATTTAGTCGGTGTAGAAGTTGAACACATAATAAGTGTGTATTTAGTCAGTGTAGAAGTTGAACACATAATGAGTGTGTATTTAGTCGGTGTAGAAGTTGAACACATAATGAGTGTGTATTTAGTCGGCGTAGAAGTTGAACACATAATAAGTGTGTATTTGGTCGGTGTAGAAGTTGAACACATAATCAGTGTGTATTTAGTTGGTGTAGCAGTTGAACACATAATGAGTGTGTATTTAGTCAGTGTAGAAGTTGAACACATAATGAGTGTGTATTTAGTCGGTGTAGCAGTTGAACACATAATGAGTGTGTATTTAGTCGGTGTAGAAGTTGAACACATAATGAGTGTGTATTTAGTCAGTGTAGCAGTTGAACACATAATGAGTGCGTATTTAGTCAGTGTAGAAGTTGAACACATAATGAGTGTGTATTTAGTCGGTGTAGCAGTTGAGCACATAATGAGTGTGTATTTAGTCGGTGTAGCAGTTGAACACATAATGAGTGTGTATTTAGTCGGTGTAGCAGTTGAACACATAATGAGTGTGTATTTAGTCGGTGTAGCAGTTGAACACATAATGAGTGTGTATTTAGTCGGTGTAGAAGTTGAACACATAATGAGTGCGTATTTAGTCGGTGTAGCAGTTGAACACATAATCAGTGTGTATTTAGTTGGTGTAGCAGTTGAACACATAATGAGTGTGTATTTAGTCGGTGTAGCAGTTGAACACATAATGAGTGTGTATTTAGTCGGTGTAGCAGTTGAACACATAATGAGTGTGTATTTAGTCGGTGTAGCAGTTGAACACATAATGAGTGTGTATTTAGTCGGTGTAGCAGTTGAACACATAATGAGTGTGTATTTAGTCGGTGTAGAAGTTGAACACATAATGAGTGCGTATTTAGTCGGTGTAGCAGTTGAACACATAATCAGTGTGTATTTAGTTGGTGTAGCAGTTGAACACATAATCAGTGTGTATTTAGTTGGTGTAGCAGTTGAACACATAATGAGTGTGTATTTAGTCGGTGTAGCAGTTGAACACATAATGAGTGTGTATTTAGTTGATGTAAAAGTTGAACACATAATGAGTGTGTATTTAGTCGGCGTAGAAGTTGAACACATAATAAGTGTGTATTTGGTCGGTGTAGAAGTTGAACACATAATCAGTGTGTATTTAGTCGGTGTAGAAGTTGAACACATAATCAGTGTGTATTTAGTCGGTGTAGCAGTTGAACACATAATGAGTGCGTATTTAGTCGGTGTAGAAGTTGAACACATAATGAGTGTGTATTTAGTCGGTGTAGAAGTTGAACACATAATGAGTGCGTATTTAGTCGGTGTAGAAGTTGAACACATAATGAGTGTGTATTTAGTCGGTGTAGCAGTTGAACACATAATGAGTGTGTATTTAGTCAGTGTAGCAGTTGAACACATAATGAGTGCGTATTTAGTCGGTGTAGAAGTTGAACACATAATAAGTGCGTATTTAGTCGGTGTAGAAGTTGAACACATAATGAGTGCGTATTTAGTCGGTGTAGAAGTTGAACACATAATGAGTGCGTATTTAGTCGGTGTAGAAGTTGAACACATAATGAGTGTGTATTTAGTCGGTGTAGCAGTTGAACACATAATGAGTGTGTATTTAGTCGGTGTAGAAGTTGAACACGTAATGAGTGTGTATTTAGTCAGTGTAGAAGAACACATAATCAGTGTGTATTTAGTCGGTGTAGCAGTTGAACACATAATCAGTGTGTATTTAGTCGGCGTAGAAGTTGAACACATAATGAGTGTCTATTTAGTCAGTGTAGCAGTTGAACACATGATTTTGTTGTCACTATTGTCTTAATTCAGACATCATCTATGACCTTCAGGGGCTAAAAGGGTTAATTATAACCACTGAAGAATCTTCACTGAGTGCAGCAGCAGTTGAGACTTCCTAGTTTTTGTGTGCCCTTATCTGAAGAGGCTAGGTATTTCATCCACTACCCTGGGATGAGAGATGAGTGCAAGTTTCTTGGATTCCTTCTTATCATAGACAATATAAAGTAAGTAAAGTAAAGGGCTCATTTTAAACCTGTTGTGCTTTCGGCTGATGGTATATGAGTGTTGACATGTTCAACAGTGCCCTGGCCAACTTTACTTCCCAGAAAAATTTCCTGGTACCCATTTCAGACTTGGTCTACTAAGGTGCCATTATTAAAATTTATAAAACATTTATTGCCCAAGAAGGTCAAGCCAGCAAGCATCTAGCCACTGCATAATTAAGGCTCCCCCCCCCCCCCCCCCCCAAAAAAAAAAATATAGTAGATCTACATTGATGTTAAGTAAAATCACAGCAGAGAAATTGCGACCATGGGCAAAAGGCAATAAAGTAAATACAAAAACAAGTAATGCTCTTATCATTACCATGTGCCTTATCTTCACCACTTCAGAAAAAAAAAACATGACCATGGCATTTGTGAGCCTGTACGAGTTTCCCATCAAATCAACCCAGTTTTCTGGCCTCCAGCCCTTCCCCTTTTCCCCAGACTTGCCCAGAAGAACCAATCCTGTTGTTTGTGCACTACAAATTTTTGGTCTGGAAAGATATATGGTCTGGCCTGATTGACCTTTCATAAATATTGATTCACACAACTGTCTTCTCTTCAAGGAAGCAGAGACCCAGATAATTATATTTATTGGAAGAACTAAGCACTATTTTTCTATCAGTAATTTTGGCTCACCCATTAAATAAATCTGGACAGAAAAGTAGGAAAAAATAAGGCAGGGAGAAATGTACTGAAACAATATTATATTTTAAAAAAAAAACGGTTAATCGCAAAGACAGACAAGGAAAGAGATGTCATGGCCATATGCTAAACACTGTTTGCTTTCGCAAAGGGTTGATAACAGTTAAATGTGATAGAAGAAGCAAAAAGAACTGAATTATATGGGAAGGCTAGAAAAAGTCTGTAACAGATATCTTGCAGACGTGACTGTTTAGCATGCAGGTTTGCAGAATCAGCAATCTTTGTAAGCTGAGAACACAGTAAATAATCTTTTGACAACAGAAATAATGTAACAGCTAATATAGGTGAACCAAAAACCAATCTGGGTAAATGAGAATGATAAAGCATATTTATGGCAGTATGCTACAGCATTCACATACATTTATGAATGGTCCTGACATAATTAAAACATACTCTGTTTAAGACGTGGCCTTCAACTAAGTTTACGCAGGGGCCCACATACTGGAAAGTGGGGATGGTCACAGGCCAGAGGATTGAGTCCTCACGTGAAAAGATTATTTAATATAATACAATTGGCAGGTGATCCTCGGGCCACTTGCTAGGCATCTGAGGGCCAGTTCTGGCCCACAGGCCGCCAGTTGACAGCCCTGGTTTATAAGATACTAATTAGGCGAGGCTGAGAAGTAGAGGACGAAGATAAAAATACAACACCCTTCCTTTTACAGATAGAAAGACAGAACAGTCACTGAGACAAAACATGCACAATGACATAAAAGACACAAAGAACATATTCCAAGAAAGATAACAGAAAAGACATAAAGCAGACAGAAAGACTGAACAACAAACAACAAGCACAGACAGAAAGATAGGATAACAAACACCAAGCACAGAGAGGAAAGAAAGGACAAAAAACATCAAGCACCGACAGGAAGATGGGATAACAAACATCAAGCACCGAGAGAGGATAACAAACATCAAGCACCAAAGGGAAGATAGGATAACAAACATCAAGCACCAAGAGGAAGATAGGATAACAAACAGTGTGCACAGACAGAAAGATAAAACAAACAATAAACACACAAAGAAAGACAGGACAACAAACACTAAGCACAGAAAGAAAGCAAGGAGAATAAACATTCAATACAGACAGAAAACAGGACAACAAACACCAAGCACACAGAGAAAGATATGAGAATAAACACAAAGCACAGAAAGAAAGGTATGAGAACAAACATTAAACACAGAGACAAAGATTGGAGAACAAACATCAAGCACAGACAGAAGTATAGATCAAACACTAAGTACAAAGAGAAAGATAGGAGAAAAAACATCAAGCACAGAGAGAATGGAGAACAAACACCAAGCATAGAGAGAAATATAGCAGAACAGACACAGAGAACAAAGAGAGAAATATAAGAACAGAAGATTGGAGAAAAAACACCAAGCACAGAGAGAAAGATAGGAGAAAAAACACCAAGCACAGAGAGAAAGATAGGAGAAAAAACACCAAGCACAGAGAGAAAGATAGGAGAAAAAACACCAAGCACAGAGAGAAAGATAGGAGAAAAAACACGAAGCACAGAGAGAAAGGAGAACAAACACCAAGCAAAGAGAGAAATACAAGAACAGACAAATAGCACAGAGATAAAATATAACAAAGACAGAAAATACACAATGCACAAAGTGAAAGACAGAACAAACACTAACCACAAACATCAAACATACCTATAGACTTTTCCGAATGTAACGTATTGAGGGTTCGAAGGTCAGTGGTCTTCATGAGAAGCTTTGCAAACAATGTTCCGTCCTCCTTGTGGTTGGTGCTGATCATGTTCTGTAGAGCTTCGGTGAGCTTGTTCTGGATCTTCTCCACTTGTTCTATATTACGAAGTCCTGGCCGGTCTGGAAGATAGACACAGAGATTTTACTTTCAAAGACTAAATGTAATAGCAGGTTGAATGATCATTTCAATTACTGATCAGTTTGTGGATTGACTAATTAGTTGATGTGTTGGTTAAATTATTAACCAATTAGCTAATCAGGTTAGTTGCATATCCTTTACAGGACGTTGCAGAACGAACCCCATCAGCCCCTGGCTGTTGTGTGGTTTCACTAGGCAAATTTACGTCCAGTAGTTTGCCATTGCTTTCTGGAAATTAGCTGATTACATGAATGATTTACTGGTCCTTTGGTTGATATATAAACTTAGCAATTAATGTGTTGATTGACTGGGAAATTAATTGAGCTACTGGTTGAACCACTTACTGGTCAACTGATTTCAAACTTCTTCACTGCTGTGTGAAATTAGGTTATCAAGGCCCTTTGAGAGCAAGTGTACACTGTGAAAGCACAAATAGCTGATCATAGGCCACTTGACATCCAAGGGGAAGGCGAGATGGACAAACAATCAGACCAACAGAAAAGGAACTCTGCGCTGGCTGTTGAAAATGTGGACAGAGCATTTATGGAAATGTCCTGACTGCTATAATGTCATTTCTTAACTTAAGTGAAGAAGTAAGCGTTGAAGTGGCTCAGACATAATAAACAAATCGCTCACTTTAAAAGTCTTAATTTATTTAATATAACTATTACTACAGCCACTGCAATTGTGTCTGTGATGTTTCTTTTTCATCATGTATGCTTGCACAATAAGAAAATAATTACAAAACAACATCTAGACAGTTGAGCCGCAACAATGACATGATGAAGAAAAGGCAGAGAGTAAGGTGTATGAGGGTACAAAAGCACAGTGACATGAGGAGAAGAGTAGGAGGGTTCAACAGCACAGTGACGTGAGGAGAGGCGTAGGAGCATAAGGGTACAACAGTACAGTGATGTGAGGAGAGGAGTAGGAGTATAAGGGTACAACAGCATAGTGACATGAGGAGAGAAGTAGGAGTATGAGGGTACAACAGTACAGTGATGTGAGGAGAGAAGTAGGAGTATAAGGGTACAACAGCACAGTGACATGAGGAGAGAAGTAGGAGTATGAGGGTACAACAGTACAGTGACATGAGGAGAGAAGTAGGAGTATGAGGGTACAACAGTACAGTGATGTGAGGAGAGGAGTAGGAGTATGAGGGTACAACAGCACAGTGACATAAGGAGAGGAGTAGGAGTATGAGGGTACAACAGTACAGTGACATGAGGAGAGAAGTAGGAGTATGAGGGTACAACAGCACAGTGACATAAGGAGAGAAGTAGGAGTATGAGGGTACAACAGTACAGTGACATGAGGAGAGAAGTAGGAGTATGAGGGTACAACAGCACAGTGACATAAGGAGAGAAGTAGGAGTATGAGGGTACAACAGCACAGTGACATGAGGAGAGAAGTAGGAGTATGAGGGTACAACAGTACAGTGACATGAGGAGAGAAGTAGGAGTATGAGGGTACAACAGTACAGTGACATAAGGAGAGGAGTAGGAGTATGAGGGTACAACAGCACAGTGACATAAGGAGAGGAGTAGGAGTATGAGGGTACAACAGCACAGTGACATAAGGAGAGAAGTAGGAGTATGAGGGTACAACAGCACAATGACATGAGGAGAGGAGTAGGAGTATGAGGGTACAACAGTACAGTGACATGAGGAGAGGAGTAGGAGTATGAGGGTACAACAGCACAATGACATGAGGAGAGAAGTAGGAGTATGAGGGTACAACAGCACAATGACATGAGGAGAGAAGTAGGAGTATGAGGGTACAACAGTACAGTGACATGAGGAGAGGAGTAGGAGTATGAGGGTACAACAGCACAATGACATGAGGAGAGAAGTAGGAGTATGAGGGTACAACAGCACAATGACATGAGGAGAGAAGTAGGAGTATGAGGGTACAACAGCACAATGACATGAGGAGAGAAGTAGGAGTATGAGGGTACAACAGTACAGTGACATGAGGAGAGGAGTAGGAGTATGAGGGTACAACAGCACAATGACATGAGGAGAGAAGTAGGAGTATGAGGGTACAACAGTACAGTGACATGAGGAGAGGAGTAGGAGTATGAGGGTACAACAGCACAATGACATGAGGAGAGAAGTAGGAGTATGAGGGTACAACAGCACAATGACATGAGGAGAGAAGTAGGAGTATGAGGGTACAACAGCACAATGACATGAGGAGAGAAGTAGGAGTATGAGGGTACAACAGCACAATGACATGAGGAGAGAAGTAGGAGTATGAGGGTACAACAGCACAATGACATGAGGAGAGAAGTAGGAGGAGTATAAGGGTACAACAGCACAGTGACGTGAGGAGAGGAGTAGGAGGAGTATAAGGGTACAACAGTACAGTGACGTGAGGAGAGGAGTAGGAGTATAAGGGTACAACAGTACAGTGACATGAGGAGAGGAGTAGGAGTATAAGGGTACAACAGCATAGTGACGTGAGGAGAGGAGTAGGAGTATGAGGGTACAACAGCATAGTGACGTGAGGAGAGGAGTAGGAGTATGAGGGTACAACAGTACAGTAACGTGAGGAGAGGAGTTGGAGTATAAGGGTACAACAGCATAGTGACATGAGGAGAGAAGTAGGAGTATGAGGGTACAACAGTACAGTGACATGAGGAGAGTAGGAGGAGTATGGGGGTACAACAGTACAGTGATATGAGGAGAGGAGTAGGAAGAGTATAAGGGTACAACAGTAGTGACTTAAGGAGAGGAGTAAGAGGGTACAACAATACAGTGACATGAGGAGAGGACTAGGAGGAGTATGAGGGTACAACAGTACAGTGACATGAGGAGAGGAGTAGGAGGAGTATAAGGGTACAACATTACAGTGACATTAGGAAAGGAGTAGGAGGAGTAAGAGGGTACAACAGTACAGTGACATGAGGAGAGGAGTATGAGGCTACAACAGTACAGTGATGTAAGGAGAGGAGTAAGAGGGTACAACAGTACAGTGACATGAGGAGAGGAGTAGGAGGAGTATAAGGGTACAACAGTACAGTGACATGAGGAGAGGAGTAGGAGGAATAAGAGGGTACAATAGCATAGTGACATGAGGTGAGGAGTAGGAATACGAGTACTAGATGAGCATGGGAAGGAAAATGAGGGTACAGCAGGGTACTGTTGGGGGAGTGGGAGAATACGAGGAGATGGAGATGGAGTAGGAAGGTTCAATGTCATAGTGACAAGAAGAGCATGTGGAAGATTGAAGAGTAAGAGGGAGACAATAAACAGTTCTGACACAGACTAGCTACCTGGAGATAAAAGCACCACAGCTGAGAACAGTGCAATCTCGTCGTCAATCAAACACATTTTGTTAAAACGTTCGGCAAAATCAAACATAGAATCCAACAAGAAGCCAGCATTGGTTGTCATCTGTGATAGAGAGAAGAAGGCATATGATTGTGCCTGCATATTTCAGTGATTCATGTCAATGATTTATGTCAATTATGTCAGTGATTCATGTCAATGATTTATGTCAATGATGTCAGTGATCTATGTCAATGATTTATGTCAATTATGTCAGTGATTCATGTCAATGATTTATGTCAATGATGTCAGTGATTCATGTCAATGATTTATGTCAATGATGTCAGTGATTCATGTCAATGATTTATGTCAATGATGTCAGTGATCCATGTCAATGATTTATGTCAATTATGTCAGTGATCCATGTCAATGATGTCAGAGAGTCATGTCAATGATTTAATTCAATGATGTCAGTGATTCGTGTCAATGATGTCAGTGATTCATGTCACTGATGTCAGTGATTTATATCAATCATGTCAGTCAAGGAATGAGAAAAATTAAAAATGGGAAAAGAAAGTAAAAGAATAAAGCTCATGTAGGTGGGGGGAAGGAATTAGGAGAAGGAAGAGAAACAGTAAAAAAAAAAAGATTTAGCCACAGAAAGGAATGAGAACAAGTAGAAGGAGGAGAAGAAGAAACAGAAAAAAAACAGTAGCAAGAAAAAGAGAATGAATTAAGAGGGGAAAAAAACAGGAGAAAGTGGACGCAGAAAGACAAAGAGAAACGGAGAGAATTTGACTGATGAACACTTACAATAGATGCTGGCTGTCTCTGAAAGAGTTTTCCGCCTGTAAACATCATGGTGTTTGAATGTGGGTCAAACAAACAGGCCAATCGAACAAGCAAAACCTCAAACGTGCCAGCCTGGGGAGAATTGTCCAGTGTGATAAGCAATACTACCAGGATACTTTGTCTTAGTTGTAAGTGACAAAAAACACTGACTAATATCATCCTTATTTTCTCTAAGTTGGTTCCGGGATCCTGTTTGCGACTGAAAACAAAGAAATTCCATCTGTCATTTCTCAGTGGAACATGGCCCCTCAGCGGGACAAGGCCTGTGTACACTTCTGGCCAACTGCTGGATTTTGTAGCTACAGATCTCCATGGAAGAGCTAGCAAGTGTTCTGTCGACTCTCCAAAGCAGTCTCTTGTGGCAGGCGAGAGAGATGGCGATGTAAACTATTCATTGCTTCCCTTACACCCCTGGTAATACCCACATGGTATAAAATCTACCAGAAGTCATTGCAGATGCTGCAATAACATGATTTTAGTTAAACTCTAAGTAGACGACCTGAATGTGGAAGACTTTCTTACCTTAAGCAGGGTCACCTGGTCATCTTGGTTCAGTAAGACAAATCCTGGAATTCCTTTGGCAAAGTCCACCACGGATTTTATTGCAGGAGTGAAACTCTCGGAGAAGTCACTTAAGTTGTGACGGTTTGCACTTGTCTCCATGCTAATTTCATTATTCAAGGGGCAAGCCTGAAACAAAAAGGTAACAGATGGCAAAGAGCACAGTAAAGGTCTGATGCTGAAGTAGAATGGAAAGGAGAAGAGAAAGAAGAAAGTAATGAGGAGATGATGAGACAGGTGATAGAACAATCTTCATCACTGCCAGCCCCACACTTAAAAGAAGAAAAGAAGATGTCTAACCTGTGTGTGGTGTGGTGTGTGGGGTGGGGTGTGTTGGGTGTGTGGTGTGGTGTGGGGTGGGGTGGGGTGGGGTGTCTTAGGTGTGTGGTGTGGGATGGGGTGTGTTGGGTGTGTGGTGGTGGGCGGGGTGTGTGTGAGTGTGAGTGTGTGTGTGTGTGTGTGAGAGAGAGAGAGAGAGAGAGAGAGAGAGAGATAGAGAGAGAGAGAGAGAGAGAGAGAGAGAGAGAGAGAGAGAGAGAGAGAGAGAGAGAGAGAGAGAGAGAGAAACTAAACATGGAGTTCTGTTTTAACACATTCAGATACAAGTCTAGCGTTTTCATGGCTCACAGGATGCTGTGTTGTTTCAGTAACTTTTAAAGGTTTTGAAAGGTTGTTTCAATTGAAGGAAATTGCTGTAGCTGAGGTTATCATATGGTGACAACAGGGTGATTTTATACATACTAGATTACATGAAGAAGAAAAGGAAGAAGATGAAGATGAAAAGACGACGGAGGAGAAGACGAAGGAGAACTTACCATATTTGCTGGGCAGTTGATATACTCCTGCTTCATGAGGGCTAGATCCCGCATCTTGTGAGCATCAAACTGTGAGATCTCACATGTATGACGATGGGCTGTCACCACCGCCTCAACTATATCAAGGTCATTAGAGAGCAGGCTGTTCAACTCACTGGACTGTGAGGCTAAGTTCTTCTTTTGCATCTGCTCTATGATTCTGGCTTTTTCTTTTTTGGGCACACGACCAAATCGAACAGCTAGAAATATAATAAATGTTTATTTAAAACAGTTTATAAAAATAATCTTGCAGGAGATGAAAAAAGTAAGTTATGAAACGTTAAATCTCACGCATATGTATTTTTACACCCCCCCCCCCCCCCCCAAATTGAATAAGGCTGGAAAATGGGATTATCTTTAACAAAACAAAAAGTACTCTTACACCTCCAACAAACAACTAACGATTGGACAAATGAGGAAGCTTCATTCCTAGCACATGGACTGACACACCTGATGATGAGGGATTGTGTGAAATTATTCATTTTAAATAAATAACAATGATAACTTAACAAAATGTTCAACAAAAATGATTTAAAACTTACCATCCCGAGACATTCCAACTGTGATACACTTTTTGAGTCTGCAAAGCGAATTTAAAAATTGGGTAAAATTAATAATTTAAAAAATTTAATAATAATAAAAAATTAATGAATAAAATATCTGAAAGCTTGCAGTGTTAAACAACAAATTTTTCTAAAGTGAGATCATTTGACAGAATCTGTGTTTAAAATGGGATCATCAGATTAACATTTTAACAAACTTGGGTTGTCTCATTGAAAAGTAAAGAACAGGATCTGAGACAAAATCAATAATATAAAATAAAAAAAAGCAGACAGGAGGGATGGATAGAAAAACATACAAGTAGCTGAGTTGGTAACCAGACAGGATGGAAAGTAAACAGATTGATAAACTGACAGATAAATAACCAGTACTTGAAGACATGTTTAAAACTGGAACAAATGAATTTTTGTTTACTTTCTACTGTCTGCTTTTGTCTGTCACAAACATGCACCCACGTACACATACACACACACATACATACACACCAACACATACATACACACGCATGCACACTTGTCTGTTTTATCATAAAGTAGCTCAAAGCCCAAAGCAGCAACAGCAGCCAATCTATCAGCCTGCTTATTGATCACACAACAGTAGCCAATCTATCAGCCTGCTTATTGATCACACAACAGTAGCCAATCTATCAGCCTGCTTATTGATCACACAACAGTAGCCAATCTATCAGCCTGCTTATTGACCCATTCACTATGATCACACAACGGTAGCCAATCTATCAGCCTGCTTATTGACCCATACACTATGATCACACAACAGCAGCCAATCTATCAGCCTGCTTATTGACCCATACACTATGATCACACAACGGTAGCCAATCTATCAGCATGCTTATTGACCCATACACAATGATCACACAACAGCAGCCAATCTATCAGCCTGCTTATTGATCACACAACAGTAGCCAATCTATCAGCCTGCTTATTGATCACATAACAGTAGCCAATCTATCAGCCTGCTTATTGATCACACAACAGTAGCCAATCTATCAGCCTGCTTATTGACCCATTCACTATGATCACATAACAGCAGCCAATCCATCAGCCTGCTCACTGACCAATTCACTATGATCACATAACAAAAACAACCAATAAGAAGGTGGCATACCGACAATATTGACATCTGTTTCTATTGACTCTCTGAATGTTACACTGCTGATTTTTGAGGCAAGGTCGGTACTGGATCTTCTGTTGAATGGACCTCCGGAAGAAGCCCTGCAAGGAAAAGTTTACATTCAATAAAAAACAATTGATACAGATGTTATAAGTAGGATAATACATGGAACAACAATAAAGACACAAAAAGTGACAAATGTCAGAAAATGGGAATTAAAAAGATTGTAGAAAATTATGGCTTTTAACTGGACAAAAATTAAATATTTAGGCTTAGCATCATTAATTGTGAATATATCAATGCATAGAAACAGGTCCTTTAAGATTTATCTGGGACTCCTAAAGCAGTGTTCTTCAACATTGTTAAACCTATGGCCCACCAAAACGGAGGAGGTACTAGTTTCACAGCACAGCTGGCAGATAACCAAACAAAGAAAAAACACATTTTGTTTCAATGGATGTTATGAAATTAACATTTCCAGCTAATGTGGCATCCACTGCTGCTCACAGGTTTTAAACACATCTATGCAGTTGAGCGGGGCTTCTGAGATCTGTAGCTGTTTTAGTTTCATCCTTGATGTGTTAATCTTACAGGCTGCAATCATGGAAGAGACATGTTTGGCGGTACAACTGGACCTTTTCACAGTCTAGAGGCTAAAGAACACTGTCCTAAAGGGTTAAAACAATTATGTGTGATATAACAGGTTCAATATAGTTAAGACTGAGAGGGGAGGGAACAGAAAGGAGAGGAGACAGACAGAAGGAGATAAGAGGGGAAAGGAAGAGGAAATATGGGAAAGGAGAGAGAATAGGGAAGGAAAGAGATAATGGGAGAGGGAAGAGGGAATGAAGAGGGAAAGGGACAGGAGAGTGAAATACTCAGGGGGGGGGGGGGGGGTAAAGAATGTCTATGGAGGGAGGAATAGAAGAGTTTACACAAAGAGTGATTACACCGGGGATTCACATTACTGCAACAGGCGATACAAAGAGCTGAAGTTTGTTACAGCTCACAATTCTGCCTACTCCACCCCACAGTGGGAGTTCTAGGGCTAAATAGAACTCCACCAATAAGGGCAGCTTGCCCTATATTAGAAGGTTTGCAGAATTACCGACTGATTAGTCAATTAAGGAGGCACAAAGGGGTAAATTTCCATTACTGTGGGTAATAAATAACAGGGCACTAATTGGCTCTCATAAAGACAACACAAATCAGTAGAGATCAGACAGTATGTTCCCTATGTTTTGTGACTGTGTGTATGTGTGCAGGGATTGACAAAAAAAAAAAAAAACCACACACACACCCACACAAAACTGGGGGTGAGGGGAGGAGGGAGGGAAAATCGTTGTAGTAAACAGTTCAAAGGCCTTAAAAGCCTTGATTAAGTGAGCAACTGTTATCATCACCATCATTATTATTATGAAATTCACCTATGGGTGGGAAATTGGCCTGTATGAAACACTTGTGAGTTTGTAATCTATTGTTTTACGTGCTTGTGTGTGTGTGTTTGTGGAGGGAAGAGGGGTCGAAACCTGAGGGTTTGGGCGCACTGAGGGTTTGGGCGCACTGAGGGTTTGGGCGCACTGAGGGTTTGGGCGCACTGAGGGTTTGGGCGCACTGAGGGTTTGGGCGCACTGAGGGTTTGGGCGCACTGAGGGTTTGGGCGCACTGAGGGTTTGGGCGCACTGAGGGTTTGGGCGCACTGAGGGTTTGGGCGCACTGAGGGTTTGGGCGCACTGAGGGTTTGGGCGCACTGAGGGTTTGGGCGCACTGAGGGTTTGGGCGCACTGAGGGTTTGGGCGTACTGAGGCCTCCGTCCCCAAAATGTTGAGTTCTCTTGTGAAGTATTTTTTTTACAGTTTCAATTATTTAAAACATATTATATTTATCTGCTACCCGCAACATTATTATTCTTATTATTATACGCAGCTCAACAAGATGCAGGCTTATCCCTTATATAAAAAATCTTTCAGTGTGGTCAGCCCCCCCCCCCCCCTCGTCCATTTTACCATGTTATTTTTGTGCCACTGCGTAGTGTGTGTGTGTATGTGTGTGCGTGCGTGCGTGCGTGCGTGTGGGTGGGTGTGTGCATACAACACTCCTAATAAGGCTGTCGTGTAGGTTTGGGCAACAAAAATGAGGAATTTTACAGTAAATGAGTCGGAGAAAGTGCACAATATCTAACCGGCTATTTTTAGTATCACACAAACAAGAAAGCGTAGAATCCCAGAGGAAATGACCAGTGTGAGGTCAGCTCCGGACTTCTTGATTTGGAGGAAGAAATGTGGGCAAGTTTTTTGATGTTGAATAATTTGTAGACAGTAGAATAGGGGTAGGGGGTGGGAGTGGGGGGTGAGAGGGGCTGAGACATCAGATGTGTCTGAGAGAGAAAGACAGCCAGGTCCGGGGTGGCGGAAGACTATCGGGACTATGCGGGCAGAGATGCTGGAGAGAGAGAGGGAGAGAGAGAGAGAGAGAGAGAGAGAGAGAGAGAGAGAGAGAGAGGAGAGAGGAGAGAGAGAGAGAGAGAGAGATAGAGATAGATAGATAGATAGATAGAGAGATAGAGAGAGGAACAATGCATTTCATACGTTCTGTTGTTTCCAGCAAAACTCTGGAATCTATAGAAGATAATGACTTGTAATTAGATGCCGGTTATCTAACGTGACTAGAACAGAAAGAAAGAATTCACCAACCAATGCAAGAATAAGAATTGATGAAAGGCGAACAACATCAGGTATGTTGTGTTGGTACAGGGCTGGAATTCAAAGAAGATCAGGGCCAGCGACACCTGGGGACATAGACACCTGGAGGATTTCCTCTCTCCTCAATAATTTATATTAGTAGAACGACCCTGTCCCGCCCAAACCACTACCCCCTGCACCCCCTCTCCCATCTAATCCCTTAAAAATGTACTGAAGTTCCCCTAAAGTAGTTTTAATGCTGTATTTGTCTTTAGCACCTACTAATATTAATAATTATTATTACTATTATTTTTATTCTTATTTGTGTGCCTCTAACAAGACTTAGGTTCAATGAACCCCCACCCCACCCCCACCCTTTTTCCGCCGCTGTAAATTGTTCTTTGCGTCGACGCCCCTGATCAGGATAGCGAGATAAACAAAACTGAGATTGAATCAAACCAGCAGCAGCGGGTACTCACCTTACATCCTTCACAAGCATGGACGCCATAGTGAAACCCACTGGCCCGGTCGCCACATACTCGACACAGAACTGTCTCCCCGTCAAATTCTGAGGAGTATATCATAATGTTTATATGTGTTTATCCCCGTTGTTCGTGCATAGCCAGGTTTGTGTATACACAGTTACACATCCTTGTTTATATATACATCCCCCTTTCAAGTTGGTGCATACATATGTATATGGATTTGTGTATATGGACGAACACAAGAATGAATGGGTGAGTGAATGAATGAACATTGCAGTAATTGATGAAATGAATAGATCAATCGATGCACAGATAGAAGAACAGAAGGACAGGCGGGTGAATGAACGAGAGAAGAAATAAAAGGGATAAAGATACCAAGAAAGAAAATAAAAATAGAAAAGTTAGTGCAAAACACAGACGATGACACATACACATACACCCAGAGACAGAGAGAGAGAGAGAGAGAGAGAGAGAGAGAGAGAGAGAGAGAGAGAGAGAGAGAGAGAAAGAGTGAGAGAGAGGTGGGGGGGGGAGAAAGAAAGAAAGAAAAAGAGAATGACAGCAGAAAGAGAATACTGACGAGAAAGGGACAAAGTAAGAAAGGGACAAGTAAGACAATACAGAGAGTGATAGACTGGAATTGAGAGAGAGAGAGAGAGAGAGAGAGAGAGAGAGAGAGAGAGAGAGAGAGAGAGAGAGAGAGAGAGAGAGAGGGGTAAGGAGGGGACAGTCAGCCAGCCAGAGAGAGACAAAGAGAACTGAAATGTTCATTATTCTCTCACACACAAAAATGAAAGTCCAAAAACATGGAAAGACGAAATGATTTCCGCCACTGCCTCATGTCTCCGCGACCGTATATGTCATGTTTAACTTGACAGATCAAATGGCAGAGGAGAGAGAGAGAGAGAGAGAGAGAGAGAGAGAGAGAGAGAGAGAGAGAGAGAGAGAGAGAGAGAGAGTGTGTGTGTGTGTGTGTGTGCGCGCGAAGGAGTCTGCGCGAGGTGGGGATGGGGGTTGTTTCTCGAAGCGTGAATATTTACATATGAAACCATATTTAAGTACAAAAATTAAACGTACGCGAAAATATGAAACTAAACAAATGACCTTGCTAACCAACATGGCAGCCCAGGCGAACATCACCTACCCAGTATGTTGTTAGTCCCAACTGTTGCAATAAAGCTACAGAAGTAAATGGCCCTTTTGATCTATATTTGTATACATCAACCACACAGTCTTTGATGAGTAATGGGTTAACATCAAACCGGCTACCTTTACATCCCAGGACATTTCATGGTACGGATTTCAGACTGTCGATCTTCATCCCAAAGTTAATTGTGAGAAAAAGAAAACAAATCTACTCGATACGGATGTGAACCCTACAGCTTCGGGGCGGCAGGTGAAGGAAGGGGGACGGGGGGAGACTTGCCACTGCCTTGTCGTGTCTTTGCACGCCCGGCTGGCCCAGAAACAAACTTGGAAGACAATACGTTAGACAACAAAACACTTGCTGAGTCCTGTGATAGAAAAACCAATTGTTTTCACAGCATGAGTGGGTTACTTTCAAACAGACAATACACGCACATGTATGTGTTTGTAGAAATGTACGTATATATGTATTCTTAACGATACACATATACATACACACACGCACGCACACATACATAGTCCAGAAACATTTTTCTCTCTGCTGTTTGTTAAACTATACCGTCAGGTTTCATTCGCATGTTTAAACCAAACGGAAGTGATGTCACAACAGATCGACTGTTGTTCTAGACACAAAACCAAACGGAAGTGATGTCACAACAGATCGACTGTTGTTCTAGACACGAAACCAAACGGAAGTGATGTCACAACAGATCTGTTGTTCTAGATACAAAACCAAACGGAAGTGATGTCACAACAGATCGACCGTTGTTCTAGACACAAAACCAAACGGAAGTGATGTCACAACAGATCGACTGTTGTTCTAGACACAAAACCAAACGGAAGTGATGTCACAACAGATCGACTGTTGTTCTAGACACAAAACCAAACGGAAGTGATGTCACAACAGATCGACTGTTGTTCTAGACACGAAACCAAACGGAAGTGATGTCACAACAGATCGACTGTTGTTCTAGACACAAAACCAAACGGAAGTGATGTCACAACAGATCGACTGCTGTTCTAGACACAAAACCAAACGGAAGTGATGTCACAACAGATCGACTGCTGTTCTAGACACGAACCAAACGGAAGTGATGTCACAACAGATCGACTGCTGTTCTAGACACGAACCAAACGGAAGTGATGTCACAACAGATCGACTGCTGTTCTAGACACGAACCAAACGGAAGTGATGTCACAACATATCGACTGCTGTTTTAGACACAAAACCAAACGGAAGTGATGTAACAACATATCGACTGTTGTTCTAGACACAATGTCAGTAGTTGACGTCACATGGTCACCCTGCCTCCACCCCTAAAATTATGTTTCAGTGCGTTGCATTTGATGATGGCTGTGACGGCCTGTTTGAGTCTGTTCTCCCCCTTCGAAACATCAAGATTGCCAAATTGAACTTTTCAAAGAATTGTAATGTTTCTTCAGTAAAACCACACCTATAGGGCTTCAGTGTATGCATTTCTGGCTTGTTTACTAATTATTTGTTACCTAAAATTGCCAATAAGTGATATTTACATGTGTAACAATTATCAGAGCAGGCTTCCGTAAGACATTCTAGTTGTCCCGTATCAACTTGTGTACGGTTGACTAACCGATGGGCCGTCGACGTTTGCTGAAAGGCCGCATCACGTCATTCCTAAAAATAGCTCGATGTTTTTTCTTATTGATTTCCAGTACGAATTTACATAATGTAAAATACGGGCCGGGAAACACAATGTAACAGTGCGGCGCTTCATCGTAACATGGCCGAGAAAGCTGCTAGGCTCTGGTAGCCAAACGACCTTGTGGATACATCTTCTGATATTATTTGTAGTCAGCTAGCGGCATCAACAGCGTTCCGAAAAGGCAATTTAACGGCTGGCGGGTCACGGCGACCGGTACTAATGATCGCATGACGCGTGCGTGAGCACTGACCGACTTAGCGCCCCCCCCCCCACGAGACAAGGGACGTAACTTGTGAACTGTTTGAAAACGTTACCTCCCTTCACTCAAATAGAGGGAGTTATTTCCACTTTTGTCCCCCCCCCCCCCCCTTTTTTCTTGTCCTCTTCTTTGTCTTCTATATCCGCATACGGGAACAAGAATGTCGTCACGGACTTTTGAATACTGTATTAGTTTTTGTTTGGGCCGAAGTTACCCGTGGTTATTGATGTGATTTTTTTAATGTGAATTTTTTTTTTTAAACGGAGAGGGCCAAAAAAAAAAAAAATGAGAAACAGGGAGAGAAAGAGATGGCTAGGGGGGAAAAGGCAAACACACACACACAGAAAATGAGAGAGAGAGAGAGAGAGAGAGAGAGAGAGAGAGAGAGAGAGAGAGAGGAGATAGAGAGAGAGAGAGAGAGAGAGAGAGAGAGAGAGAGAGACGGAGAGGAAAGAGAAACTCAGAAAAAGAGGAACAGGTGGGAAAAAGAGACAAGACTGTGTGAGAATATTCTACTTTCTTTTTCTAATGATTTGTATACATACAAACAAAATTAGTTGCATATCCTTTACATGACGCTGCAGAAACAACCCCACAATTTGTTGGCTGTTGTGGATTTTCTATGCAAATTTATGTCCAGTAGTTTGCCATTGCTTCTGGTCGGTCGGCTTCTCGATACCACTGTCTAAACCAACGCAAGGCGCAAGACCCACAGCTGGGATCGAACCCAGCACCCCTGCATTACGAAGCGCGTTCGCAACACCTACGCCACAGACGCCGACAAGGACTTGTATTAACTGATCTTAATTTTGTAAAGATTGTTGTTCTTCACGCAGCCTTTTCTGCTAATGTGTGGTCTTTCTCCTGTTCTGTGTTCATTGCACTTGTCAGCTCATGTGTGGTCTTTCTCCTGTTCTGTGTTCATTGCACTTGTCAGCTCATGTGTGGTCTTTCTCCTGTTCTGTGTTCATTGCACTTGTCAGCTCATGTGTGGTCTTTCTCCTGTTCTGTGTTCATTGCACTTGTCAGCTCATGTGTGGTCTTTCTCCTGTTCTGTGTTCATTGCACTTGTCAGCTCATGTGTGGTCTTTCTCCTGTTCTGTGTTCATTGCACTTGTCAGCTCATGTGTGGTCTTTCTCCTGTTCTGTGTTCATTGCACTTGTCAGCTCATGTGTGGTCTTTCTCCTGTTCTGTGTTCACTGCACCTTGTCAGCTCATGTGTGGTCTTTCTCCTGTTCTGTGCTCATTGCACTTGTCAGCTCATGTGTGGTCTTTCTCCTGTTCTGTGTTCATTGCACTTGTCAGCTCATGTGTGGTCTTTCTCCTGTTCTGTGCTCATTGCACCTTGTCAGCTCATGTGTGGTCTTTCTCCTGTTCTATGTTCATTGCACTTGTCAGCTCATGTGTGGTCTTTCTCCTGTTCTGTGTTCATTGCACTTGTCAGCTCATGTGTGGTCTTTCTCCTGTTCTGTGTTCATTGCACTTGTCAGCTCATGTGTGGTCTTTCTCCTGTTCTGTGTTCATTGCACTTGTCAGCTCATGTGTGGTCTTTCTCCTGTTCTGTGTTCATTGCACTTGTCAGCTCATGTGTGGTCTTTCTCCTGTTCTGTGTTCATTGCACTTGTCAGCTCATGTGTGGTCTTTCTCCTGTTCTGTGTTCATTGCACTTGTCAGCTCATGTGTGGTCTTTCTCCTGTTCTGTGTTCATTGCACTTGTCAGCTCATGTGTGGTCTTTCTCCTGTTCTGTGTTCATTGCACTTGTCAGCTCATGTGTGGTCTTTCTCCTGTTCTGTGTTCATTGCACTTGTCAGCTCATGTGTGGTCTTTCTCCTGTTCTGTGTTCATTGCACTTGTCAGCTCATGTGTGGTCTTTCTCCTGTTCTGTGTTCACTGCACCTTGTCAGCTCATGTGTGGTCTTTCTCCTGTTCTGTGCTCATTGCACTTGTCAGCTCATGTGTGGTCTTTCTCCTGTTCTGTGTTCATTGCACTTGTC